GCGGGACACCTAGCGACGGAGAGAGTCGCTTTCAGTGCCGCTGGGCCGGCATTCCCGGGAGCCGCGCGGAGGCGAGGGCCGGGGTCCCCGTCGCCTGCCCTCTAGGATCCTGCCTGCCAGGCTCCACCTTCCTCGGGCGGCCGCGGCCGCTGACCTGTTTCCTTCCACCTGGCCAGGACCCGGGGGCATCGGGGCCCCTCAGGGAAACCCAGGCCTTCAGGGACTCAACCCTTTGAAGAATGACCGAGGCAGGGGGTGGGTGGTGACTGGAACTGGGGCAAGAGTGGCTGGAGTCATGACCCGGGTCGGACCTTAGACCCGAGATCGATGCGAGGCCGCCAGGACTGCCCGGGAGTCCCTTTCCCCCTCCCGCTGCGTCCGCCCCTGGAGCGCGGTGTTATTTCCTGCCCCTCCTGTCGGGAACAATTTGAGGAACCAACTTAATCGCTGGCCTTTGAGAGCAAGACGCTTCCAGGCGCTCTCCGGCAGGGATCGGTCGCCTGGGCCGGAGATGGGAGGGGGGAGATGTTTGGGGTTCCTGGTTCAAGATGAATCAATGTGACCGACCCATCACCCTTGGGGGAAAAATGTTTCCAAAAAAGCCTGAAAGGTGTGGTTTGTGCAAAATGAAGTTTACTGTGACAAATCGGCTGGGGGATGGGGGAGGGGATGAGGACGCCTCAGTGTGGCGGCTTGTGCAGGTCAGATTAGACTTGACTCAGGCACTTGTATTTGTTGGCGGTAGGTCAAAAAGCAAATAGCTTCACTTTTCTGGGCCTCAGTTGTGCCATCGGTAAAATCGACAGGCTTAGACAGACGGACTCCGGCCTAAAAGATGTCTTGTCTGTGGCCCCTCTTGTTTTGTGAACGGATTGCAAAACTTCTGAAACCAACCAAAGGGAAAGGAAATAATCTTTGGTCACAAATAAGAGCTTTGAATTCAGTGAAGACATACCCGTTGATCTGGTCCAAGACAAGTTAAAGAGAGATCAGAAAGACATTTTATCCATAATGTTTAATCAACAGTGAAGGAAGCACAAAAGAAAAACTAGTAAAACAAGAAATTAGTTTCTTGTAAGTCTGGGGCCTAGCCAGGTGGATCCCAGAGAGTAAAGGGCTTCAGAAGCATGGTACAGATGAACATTTGGAGCCATCCCATCCATGTACACTGGATAAGCACCTTGGGCTAGGGGGTAAACACAATAAAACTATTAAATACAGGGCTCTTCCTAGAGCAGTAGGTCTCAACGTCTGGTCCCTGGACCTACAGCTTCAGCGACCCTGGAAACTTGCCAGAAACACAGGTTCTCAGGCTTCACCTCAGATCCACTGAATCAGAGACTTTAGTATAGATCCAGGAAGCTGTGTGGGAATAAGTCCTTCAAAAGACACTAATGCAAAGTGAAGCTTGAGAGCTACTAGCTTAGAGAAACTGCTAATGCATTTGGGGGAAAATCAGAGATACATGAAATGACCGGCAACATGGCATGACACTTAGTGAATGTGTAACACAAAAGGAAATATAGACAATTGTTTCCATAATGCAAAGGATAATCCCTTCCAAAAACCCTGGGGGCCAGATGGATTTCAGAATTCAGATTTTTCTTTAACTTAGAAGGATAAAATGCATACATGCACCCACAGTGAGGTCTGGAGCAGCACTCTAATCAAATACTCTAATTTTCTGCAATGAAAATGTATCAATGATAGTCTATTTGGGTTGTTTATTGCAATGTAACAAATGTTCCCAAACATGAGTAGTGTAAAATAAGTGCTTTATTTGCTCAGGAATCTGTGGCCAGGAATTTGGGCTGAGCTTGGCTGGCAGGTTCTTTAGCTCTATCTGGTATTGACTGGAGGCATTTACTCAGCTGCTTTCAGCTCATGGCTAGGCAGGACTAGAAAGTCCAAAAAGGCTTCACTCCCATTCAGGTACTTCAGAGTCCTTCTGACTAACCTTTCTCTCTGTGAATATGGGACTTCTGCAGAGTTGGCTATTAAAGGGAACTTTCTATAAATGCAAAAGCAGAAGCTGCAGATTTCTTAAGGTCCAGATTTTCAAACTACACAGAATCATTTCTGCCATAATCTATTGGCCAAAACCAAAGACAAGGCTAGCCCAGTTTCAAAGAGAGGGACAATAGATACTACCTCTGGAAGTGTGTTCATCTTTTAATGCTCCAAGAGAGAGAACAAAAATGATAAATAGCTTCACATCAGTTCAGGTTTTTCTACCAACTCTATCTTCTGAAAACTTAACACACAAACAAACAAACACTTTTTGGTTTTCAGCTTTTGAGGTTACAGAATGGCAGAGAAGTGATCATGCATGGTTGCTTAGAAGTGGCCTGCTACTTTTCAAGTGCTGCTTAAATTTAGGTGCTCATCTTCCACCTAGAACCCACCTGATTGAGGAACCTCAATAACTTTCAGTCCACTCTTTACCATCCTACAAGGATTACTGTCCTGAGGGCTGGGGCTGGGGCTCAGTGATAGAGAGCTTGTCTAGCATGAGTGAGGCACTGGGTTTGATCCCCAGCACCATATTAAATAAATAAACAAAATGAAGTATTACTGCTGTCCTGAAACCCCAGGCTAAGTATATAGTGTAAGGGCTCCTATGAGGTAATTCAACCTATCTCTCCCAATCCTTTTTCTCAATTACTGAAGAAAGCTTCCCATTCTAAACCCAAGTACATATTGACCTTTATGTCCATAATCAGTTTTTTTCTGCCGAGAGAGCCTCCTACTTTCACACACAGTTCAGAATCAGCATCCTTCCCTGCCCATTTCAAATGCCACTTTTTCTGTGATTTACTCTAAATGTCCACTAGTTTTCTTCTTTTCTTCTTTGTTTAGAAGTCATTAGTTTTATGTATGTCTACTCACCATTTCTTTTCTTTTCTTTTGGTACCAGGGATTGAGCTCAGGGGCACTTGACCACTGAGCCACATCCCCAGCCCTATTTTGTATTTTATTTAGAGATAGGATCTCACTGAGTTGCTTAGTGCCTTGCCATTGCTGAGGGTGGCTTTGAACTTGAGTACCTCCTGTCTCAGCCTCCCAAGTCACTGGGATTACTGCATGCGCCACCACGTCCAGCTCTCCAATCTAAGTCATGTTTAATGTTTTTGCCTGATTTTGTTTTCCTTGCTGTTCTTGTTCAAAACTGCCTTAAACTGCATGTGAGCAATTACATTCTATGTATTCGACCTCAATAAAATCATGCCTTTATTTTTTTTAAAAAGTATACTTCCAATCACAATTATAGTTCACATCTCCAAGCACATTGAATTATCCACCCCACAACTATTCGTATTTGTCCTGTGGGAAACAAGGACATTGTCTAAGAAGTAAGAGTGTTCTTCCTTCTCCAATCACAAAAGCCACCAGTTAGTCTAGGGTGCCTCAGTTTGAAAACAGGCAGAGATGGGACCCAAACCCACTGGGCAATGAACTTTTGGGTTTGGGGTTCATTTAGGTTTCAAGAGGTTCTATCACTTGACCAGAGATCTTAAATCTTAAAGTTCTTAAATCACAAAGTTCGACAAATAAGATAATGAAGGACCAGACTCAGATTGGTTTCCGAGGGGCCTTTTGCACTGTATTCTTCTGAACCAGACACTTCCTTGCTTACATGTTAACTTCTTGGTGATTTCCTAACTTTCTACAGAAAAGAAAACATTCATTCCCTTTTTTTCATGAAATGTATGACCTCCTGGGTTTCTCTGTCATTTTTCCACGTTGGTTTGAGACAGGGAGAGGAAATATTTCTCTTTTCTCTTTCCATAGGAGAGTAACATCTGGAGAATCTGGGAATATTATGTAATTAACTCTCAATAAACTCAGTTGGGGGAGTAATAGAGAGTGGTGGGTTCTGTGGTAGACTGGAGCACAGATACTCTACAAGGACTATCTTGGTTTCTGCTTGGTTTCATCTTTTTTTAAAAAAAATATTTTTAATTGTAGATGGACACAATATCTTTATTTTATTTATTTATTTTTATGTGGTGCTGAGGATCAAACCCAGTTCCTCACAAGTGCTAGTCAAGTGCTCTACCACTGAACTACAACCCTAGCCCCTCATCTTGTTTATTACCATATAGGAGTTGGCATCTGGTATTGCCAGAAATCCTGATTTTTAAATCCTGGCAACAAATTCGTTATTTTAAAAACTATAAGTGGGTCAAATAAAATGTGGCACCCTCTGATAGAGATACAGAGTAAAGTCCCTCTTTTTCCTGCCTGGCTCCCTCAGACCCCTGGCTTCCCCTGTGAGGGTCTCCAGAGACCTCAGAGGACACAGAGTTTTACATACACAGGACAACCCAAGAGCTAAATAGAGGGAAGAAATACGGACGAGAGTGGTAGTAAAATGGGATGTGCTAAAGGCAGAAGAGGGTTAAGATTGGGAAAATATGGAGGGATGCTAAGAATTAGATTAGAAGTAGGGATTCTCAGAAGATGTAATAATAATAATAACCTGATTTATTGTTGGCCTGTTTTGTGCCAAGCACTGACTTAACTCTTTGAATAATTTTATTAATCTCTGATTTGAAAAAAATAAACTCAGACATCTATGTCTTGCCATATATAAAATTCAACTCAGAATAGATCAAAGACTTAAATGCAAGACCTGAAACTACTGGGGAAAAACAAAACAAAAAACAGGGGAAATGCTTGAGGACATTGGTTTAGGCAAAAGTTTTGAATTTGACCCCAAAAACATAGGTCACAAAAGCAAAAACTGACAAATGGGATTACATCAGACTAAAATGATTCCACATAGAAAACGACACAGATTGAAGAATAGTACAAAATATTTGCAAACTGTTCATTCAATGAGGAATTAACATCCTGAACATATAAGGAATTCAAACATGGCATCAAAAAGAGACTCTACCTAATCTGATTTAAAAATGGGCACATGACCTAAACAAACATTTCTCAAAAGAAAATATACACAGGACTAACAAGTATAAGGAAAAATGTTCACGATTCATGATCATCAGGATAATGAAAATCAAACCCACAATGAAATACCATCTCACCCCATGGTTGTTATAAAAAAATATATATATATATATCAGGGCACAGTGGTGCACGCCTGTAATCCCAGTGGCTCAGGAGGCTGAGACAGGAGGATCATGAGTTCAAAACCAACCTCAGCAAAAGCGAGGCGCTAAGCAACTCAGTGAAAACCTGTCTCTAAATAAAATACAAAATAGAGCTGGGGGTGTGGCTCTGAGTTCAATCCCCAATACCAAACAAACAAACAAATAAAATAATAATAATAATTTATAAAGCTGATGAGGGTTCAGATAAAGGGGACTCCCACTGACTGTAATTAGTACAGTTATTATGTAAATTTGTACAGTTATTATGGAAAACAATATGGATGTTCCTCAAAATACTAGAATTAGATCTGTCCTATGATCTAATAATCCTACTACCTGGTTTATTTCCAAAGGAAATGAAGTCAGTATGTCAAAGAAACAAC